AGCATTTAGGTGGTTCTTATTATTCAACCGCAAATAAGCTATTCCAGAGGTTATAAAAAAACTGTTGGATCTAACTTGAAAATAATAATATATATCTTATAAAACAATTAACTAACGTAAACGTAAACTATACGCAGGTTTTGTAAACTAAACAAACGAGTTCACAAACAAAAAGACTAACAACAGATGTGTCCAGTCATGTTCTGATTTGATTTTTTCTCTACTTTAAAATAATATCAATAACAAATTTATACTTTATGACTATCTGTTTATCATTATACAAAATGATATATTCATTTACACCAAAACTGTAAGGAAAATGTGTTTAATTACATTAATCTTGGAAAAACGTTTCTATAAACAAATAACCACTTTCCCTCCAAATATTATTGTACCACGAAAAATTATTAATAAAATTACTAATCAATAATTATTACTATCAAATCTTCTCATAATCCATGTCGTAAAACAGGTCTAAAACAGGCATCCATACTTTGAAACGGTGGTGTGTCTTTTTACCGTAGACCTTTATGTCCCGTTTTATTCTTTAGGGTGGTCCTTAATATGATATTTTTGAATTTTATTGCTCAAATGCTTCCAAATTGATAAAAACAATTCTCTGAAAAATTTTAGCTCTTGATATTAACTTACGATAGTTCGCACTTCAACCAAAAATTTTATGGAAATAACATGGTTAAATTTAATTTGTTTTATAACTTATAGACAAGTGAATCAAAATTTTGAGATCAACATTGTCTTTGCTTATTTTGATCAGAAATAAAAAAAATTATAACAAAAATTTTATATTGTTCATAAAATAAGTATTTACTTAGGAAGATGAACCAAGAAACTTTGGTTGGAGTGCGGACTATCTTAAAGGTAATATTAAGAGATAAAACTTTCAGAGAATATTTTTTATGAATTTGGAAGCATTTGAGCCTCTGGGAGGAAGGAAGTTCGAAAACATCCATATTAAGGATTACTCTAATATATATATATATATATATATATATATATATATATATATATATATATATATATATATATATATATATATATATTATTTTTGTCACCAAATATATATGAACATCCACGACAGCACTCGTCTGAAACAATATAGAATCCCGAATTCCGAATACTCTCCAGTAGGAGCAAAAACTCGACAAGTATATAAACACAAAGAAACCGTGTCGGAATATATGAAGGTACGTAATGTTCGGCCCACAATATAACATTTTTCCTGAACTCTGACCAGAAAGGAAAGGACACTAAAGTGCGGATTGTTCGTCGTATGTGATCGTGTGGAATTTTTACAACCGAGCAATTCCATTCATTATCCCTTCTTGGTTACGAACACCCCGAACTGACTGGGAAATCGAATAAGTCCACTACGTGGGCGTAACGACATGGATTATGAGAAGATTTTGTTAGCAGGAACAACACGTGATACAATTATTGAGAGAAAATGCTTTGTTTGTTATAGAAAGTTCTAACAAAATATATGTAATTGTACCCACACATTTTTCCGAATAGTTTTGGTGTAAATCGATATACCATATGCAAAGGGTTTAATGAAGATATAGGTTATCATGCATGTTCAAGGTAAGATAAATTGGTAATATTAATAAAATGCATGGCAAAATGGATTATGAGATCTTTTTTAGCAAGGTACAACACATCATACAATTATTGAGAGGAAGGGGTTTTGTTTGTTACAGAAACTTCTATCAAAATAAACTATATTGTACTACCGGTTTTCAAAAACCGGTTTTAAAACCGTTTTTCTTGGCGAAAATTATGGAATTCGAAACCCGTTGCTTTAGTGAAAAAAGTCGGTTTTCACTGTATAAATGGAAAATGACAAATATAGCCAAATATAAAAGATAGATGAAAGTGTTTTGATTCTTGAAATCATATCGGATCAATAGTATTTGATATTTTATCAGTCTGCAATGGTTCACAGAAAGGTTTTGTATATATTAATTTAGATTTTTATACCAGTGTATATATTAATTTAAATCAGTGTGACTTCTTCTTGAAGAAGTAACTTCTCTCTACTCAAACTTAAAAAAAGATTTTTAAACCTTAGAAGCCACAAATTAAATAACAAAAAACTTAGTATTATTATATCAAGCTTTAAAAACAATTACTCATAATTTGGTCGCAAGTATGAGAGTATTTTTTATTTCTGAAATATTGTGATTAAACAAAGGACACGTCTAAGTAGCAATTCGAGAGACGTTCTAAGTTTTTTTAAATCATATTTTATTAAACAAACAAAAAACTTAGAGTGTTTACAATTAATTAGTTAAAATTGCTCGGAACCGACAATATACGAGTTTAGCTCTATTGTTTTTAAAACTAAAATTGATATTAACAAGTATGTATCAACATCTATAATTTTTTTTTTTTTTTCAATGATTTTTTTTATTTCAAATACAAAAATTATTCATTATTTTCTGCAAATTTTAGCACGAACAACGTTTCAACATTGAAGATAAACTATAGAAAATATTATGGATTTTTTAATATATAAGGTTCAATACAGCAAGATTTAAATTTTAGCTAATTTGTGGATTTTACTAAAAAAAAATAACAAATTTAATGACTGTAATATAGTGTAAGTGGCATTTTGCCTGAAGGAAAAGTGCAAAAACGTGCTGGTATACTAATATAATCAATATGAATTGAAATTTAGCAACTCTTAAAATTATCATGATACTATAGTTTAAAAATATTGCAAGACACATTATTCCAAACATCAACGATTTTTATAATTAAACCAATTTCAGATCATTAAGTCTGTTATTATAAAAGGTTTAATCAAAATCACAAAAACATTCTTTTCGCCAATTCGTTATGAAGAAACGGCCGATTTTTACGAAAAACTGTTCAGTATAAATCCTAACGAAACGACTCTACCGATCGTACTAATACTAATAAGCTCGAATCCTTATGGAGTTTCACTAAAAGATTTTTAAATGATTGAAACCGATACAGCAGTTTTTGAGAAACATGGACAAAAAATCTAATTTGGTTCACATGTAAACACATACTTTTTCCAATTTTGGTCTCAAACGATTTAGAATGATTTGAAATATCGAGAATACTTAAAATTAGAAAATCGAATTACCGGTCGAAAGGAGAAGTAAACATTTTCGAGAAGTTAACAACTTTAATATATCACGCAACCTTATAAATCCAAGAACTATAGATTTCCAGATTAGTTAATAATGGAAAGTAATATGATTGCAGAAACCATATATGTAAGAGAACATTCAAACATTATATTAAAAGTCAAGTAAATAAATAAAAAAAATTGTAAAATGACTTACCTATCAAGTTCCCCTGCTTTCATATCTCTTCTTTCTGAAATAACAAAATTTACAATCATAATTTATAGAAATTGATAGGGTCTTAATTATCTTAATCTATTTTTACTTAATTACTACTATTATTAACCGAATGTAAAAATATTTATGATGGATATTAGATAAATTCTAGCTACTGCTTATCATAAAATTTTATGGCATTCCTTTATTATCATTCCTTAATATTCGAAGTATTTGCGGCGATAAAATGAATGAAATGCGTCTATCAAAGTTGTAATATCAAAACCCATTAAGTTTTCTCTTATTGATTCTCGTGCTTTTATATAATATTAGAAATCATAACATTAGATATATTATGGAACATATATGATGCAAGATAAGAGGCATTATTTTTGATGTTCGCTGTTATACTAAATGAAAATGCAAAAATATCTTGAAAGTAGACCTTCATATCATATTAATAGATACACATGTGCATCTCCATGCACAAACTAAATTTAAATTTACCTAAATGAATGGAATCCGCATTTTGTCTCATCAGCAGTGCAAAAAAAAATTAGTGGGGTGCAAGGCAAATTGCTAGAACTTTCCGTACCGTAATTAAAATTTGGTACGGAACCCAAAAAAATTTACACAAAATGTGTACACATTATTATAATCTCTATTAATATCTGATAATTTGATGTCCATTTGTCCAGAAAACATTTTTGACTGCCAAATGACATTTTTTTAACTTATTTTTATTGAGAGTCGACAACTACAAAAATTTAATCAGTTGTTCATCTTGTCAATACAAGTAAAATTTTTATTGAATAATTAAAATCGGACGCTCCGTTCTCTTAAAAACTGAGTTACCGTTCTTGGCACTTTTTGCTTCGCCAAAAACTAATCAGCACGTCTTCTTATCAATAAAAACTGAATGTTTTTTGAATTATTCAAATCGGTTGATCGGTGTTCCCGAAATCGTCGACAAAAATTTGTATTCGTACCGCTATCCGTTACCTACCTACAGGATAGAAACTTTCGTTGTAAAAGCTCAATGCCATGAAGATTGCCGCTTTCATAGCCAATATAATGAATTTAAAGTACGTCCGAACATAATTTTTAGTTAGTACATTTAGATCAGATGCTTTATTGCCATACAAATGTTCATAAAAATCGTCTATTTTGTTTTAACAATGGATTACAAAGAAATAGCCTAGCCAATCTTTGTCAAGAACTTATCGACACGTTTCCCAAATGATCCAACAGATTTCAAGTTAGTTATAGGACGACAATTGCTTAGATTGGCATCTAAAGCATAGAAGAATTGTCATTTAGACTAGAAAAAACTTTTATTTCAATAATCCTATAAGTTGGCGAGTATATCGCACAAAATTCAAAATATAGCCTGATCAAAAATAACATGTTTCTGGAAGCACTCTAATCGGATCATTAGAAACCATGTAGCTGATTACAAACGCTGGTTAAGATCCTAATATGAAAATAATTTTCTCTAATATTTTTGAAACTTTTTCACGTATTCTAATTTTCCCCATGATAAGTATCGTGCGACAGTATTATAAAATAGAATCAAATTCATAAATATCCCCCATAAAAACGAAAGCGCGAAACGCAGCAAATAGAAGTATTCCATTCCGCAAAATAAACATATATCACGTACTAGGGCACAGCATTGTAATACACTATATATACATACAAATCTATCTATATATCTTTATACCGCAACGGGCAATCAGAATAATACCGCAACTGTGAAAATATCGTGACTTTGATACATTCCGGCACGTTCAATGAAATTTCACATGCGACTCGGCGGCCAATTTCGAGTAGATAGGCGGTTCGAACAGCACGATACTCTCCTCTATGCATATCGGGTTGATAAAAGTTAAATTGTAGGAAATCATGATTTGAAATAAAACAAAAGTGCTCTGGATACATTGTAAAGTAGATGCACTTCAAACGAAACATTAAATTCCATATATTAACGCTGCTAAATATATAATGTTGAACCGTTCAATAGAACTCAAAGTAAATTCAGAGATGAGTTTGCAACTTTACCAGATAAAAAATAAAATATTGATCTTGTAATCATTAGTTTTTTTTTGCATATCTTTATTGTCAATCGAAATATACATTATTTTTTAGGACAATATGCTAGTCTTCATGTCTTTGCGGGGTTAATCTTGTAATTATGAATGAACTTTAGCCATAAAAGCTGATCATGACTCACAAGAATGAGAAAAAACAAGAGTATATTATAATATACAGTAGTAGTTGACTTACGAGCATCTTGACATACGAGTGTTTTGAAATACGAGTCGACAAAGGAGCGGTTTGCTTGAAAATTCAAATTACGAGCTTTGAGCAAGTAAGAGTTTTCTCGAAAAGTGTTAATAATAATACACTACGAATATCAAAATATGAAAAAATTTCGTCAGCTGGAACAAAGATTTGTTTACCATAGATATTTTGGCTGCTTTATGATAGTAAATTTTTTCATTGTTAGTTAGTAGTTAGTCAATTTAATTATAATTTAATATTAATAATGTAGTAACGACGTATATCAATGATTATTTTAAATTTTAGAATTTTAACTATGCATTAATAATGATTTCTCAGTTATGTATGTTCAGTTCGCTTTTTTTGCTTTATGTACAATTGTAAAATATTATGCACATTTACAACCATGGGTATAAGGTAAAAATCTCTTGAATCTCTTTAATTGAAGAAATTATTGAAAAATATGAAGATAGCGAGAATTTACGGGCGCAAATATCATAGGCATGTTTTTTGTATAAACCGAAGGAGTTGATAAAAGATATAACTCTAGCTAAGACTCTTACAACAATTTATAAGAAGCTTTTTCAAGTCTGAATTTGTGGTAAAAATCACTCAAAAAAAATTGCCACAGTTTGAGCATTGCAGTTGTTCAACTAAACATGTTTAATTCATTTGAAAAACATCTTGAATGAACAGGAAAAAATCATAATTAAATTCATAAATTGTAAATCTAATTATTATATATAAAAAATTTAGTAAAAACTCTAGTGCTGGAACGAATTAATGGAATTTTGATGTATTTATATAGAAAAAATTGCTTCGACATACGAGTGTGGTCCAGAACGAATTTAACTCGTATATATGAATGCCACTGATTGTGAATAATTCTATTAGAAACCAACTAAATCTTATTTTTATGATATAATTAAGATAACCATTGATGGCCGGATTTCCACTTTGTCTCCCAGGTTTTTCTAAAAGCCGTATTTGTCCCGGATTGTCGCGGTTTTTTAGAAAATTAATAAGTAAAAAAGTATTACATATGATCGATAATAATAAAGTTCTTACTACAAGTTCGCAATTCTGATTAGAAAAATTGATTTATATAAAAAAACTGTTTTTATTGCATCCTTAAATAGCTTATTATTATTTTAAAGCCCTCCCCACCCTTCCGGATTAACGTAACTAAAAACTGCCGTCCCGGTTTCGACTTTGCAAAATCTCGTCACCTTAGATATCAACTAATAGCTTATTGCGTTTCGATTAAAACTAAGCTATGTGAAAGTAATACTTATTTGAACTCCTATCAGTATATATGTTATCTTAAATAACGTAATGTACTTTCAAATTTGATTAAGTTTTAACTTATATTGAATACTTACTGCGGAAACAGCACTTTTCGGAGCGCATAGCCCACACGCAAAGGCAGACCAGGAGTATTAGACCGGCCAGGCAGCCCCCTGCAACGCCCAACAGCACGCTCATGGCTAAAGGCTCTATAAAGAAATGACATTGAAATAGGTAGACACATTTATTTTATATAGGTGAAATTACTTCAAACTGATAGTGGTAAACAATAACGTCGTTAATTTTCGAGAAGTTTTATAATAAATTGACATAAATAAAGATAATCCTTAAATCAAGATTAGAATCGGAAAAACTTGATACGATTCAACTGAAAGCCTATATTATGGACAAATAAAACCTGAGACAAAAAAGAGTGCGCGTAAGGTTCACACGCGATTGAAGTAAAATTTATTTGCTACTGTACAAAGTAGAAAATTTAAGTTTAGTAAAAATTAATTTTGAATAATGTTTATTAGTAATATGGTAACACTCGTGAGCACACATTTATTAGTGTCGACCATTATACAGATTTATATTATTACGCTATTTCTAGTCACGCCTAAAGAAGTTTTACTTCAAATTATCGATGTATTTTTTTAGTAAATGTGATCAAAATGTATGTAACCAACATAATACTTATTAAAAATTATTAAATTTCAAACACGGTTCAAACACATTTTCAAATTAATTTACAATAATAGACAACCAAATGCTTCTGCATCACCAAAGCATATAGAACCATATTTAGAATTTTGAGTCGATTAATATAGCGTTTATTTTATTTTATGATCAACAAATGATCCAATCTAAAGCGGCGTCAATTAATCACGTGATCGATTTTTTAAGGAATTTTCCCCTTACCCCTTGGTGATACGTGGTGATTCAAAATTACCCCTCTCCGCCATCAAACATCACGTGTATTTTTACAAGAAAAAAATTGTAGAATTTTTGATTTTTTTAAATGTTTAGATTTAAAAAAAAATCTAGGTAAAAAATATATACACGTGATACCGTGCTTTACCCCACCCTCCCTCACGTGATATTTCGTGATTTTTTGTCAAACCCCCCCCTCTCCCTAAAAACTTCAGATTATTAATGGTCGCCCCCTAAACGGAGAGCTGAATGGAAATCATTTTCATTGATATGATATTGTCATTTCTTGCATAATCAACAGTTACATATGATTTACTGGCCTTATGGTGTTTCATAATTTTCGGCAGATCACTACTTTGCAACATATTTTATATGATGTTGTTTACTTCACTATCATTTTGAAAAAAATTAATGTAAATTATACTTTATAAGCAGTGCAATTTGAAAAGAATGTATAAAAAGTTTATTAAAAGCAGTGGTGTTGTCGAGCCGGAACGCGCCGGAACGTCGTTCCGGCAAATCATTTTTGAGCCGGAACGCGTTCCGGCAAGAAAAAATATAAAAACATCGCTACATACAGAAAATGATTTAATAAGTAAATTTTATACGTTATTATTCAACTAATTTTTATTAAATGTTATTATTGCAATAAACATACATATATGTGCACAAAATGGGTTTTGTAATAATTTTTGTTTCTTTCCTTTTTGAACGGAACTGAAAAAAAATGAAAACCGGTTTTAGAACCGGTTTTTAAATTTTAGCGTTCCGGCAAAAAAATATTAGCACAAAACCACTGGTTTTATCAAAGTCGTTTTTAATTTAGTAACAAATTGAGGTGTATGAACTTCTTATAGAAAAAATAATATTTATAAATCAAATCTTACATTCATTCGCATTTCTTATACGCTAACATCTACATCATAGGTTCCTATTCATGTATTTTTATAGCCTTACGTGTGCCTATACGTTGCATTCTATACTACACGCCTTACATCTGTACCATACGCTATATTTCATTATATACTCTCAAATCCCTACATTGTGTACCGAATACACCTAACCTATATCTACTATATATCCTATTACCTATATTTTTTTTACACGCTACATTAACCCTACCGAGATTCGAACCCGGGTCCGCCGCGTGGCACGCGACGACCTTATCCACTACACCACCGTAACGCTACAATCAACCGTTTTTTTTGCGTGTCGTCGCGCCACCTTAGTATTAATTACCTAATTAATTAGAAAATGACCCGCGGAAACAACAGTGCGTCCCATATTATATTATTAGTGGGGGTATCCGATAGGGTAGTGGTTAAGGTGCGCGACTTCCACGCGGAGGTCCCGGGTTCAATTCCCGGTATAGACAATAGGTAGGTAGAAATAATACATAGGGCGTAAGGTAAACCTATATAATATAGGTGAATATATAAATTAGACAGTAGTATTTATAAGAAGTAAAGGTCTGTAGGTATATAATAAGATAATGACGGTATAGGTATCTCACGGTATGATAGATAATAGATATTTATCGATGATATACAATAATATAATATAGTATGATAGGTAATAGGTTATCTATCATATTATTAGGTTAAGTCTTATAAAATATTGTAATAAATCTTGAGTACTTTTACTTGAATACCCGTAGGTATTAATGAATACAAATAATACCAGAATAAATATGATTAATGTCATTGAAGAATATAAATTATGTACTCAATGATTTCCTCATACTTGTACAATTTAATGTATAGACTAGCTGTGTATAATAGAGTTAATTATATAAAAAGTCAATATATTAGATTTGTGAGTTCTTATCGAAATATATCAAATTTTTTGAACCGGATTTTAAATTTTAGCGTTCCGGCAAAAAAAATATTAGCACAACACCACTGATTAAAAGCATAAATATATGTTGATAGATATGATTAGATACTATAAATGCTAATAGCATATTTCAAATAAAATATAATTTATATAAAAAATTTAAAATTAATACTCGTATAAGTATATGATAAATTTAAAATATGTATGATCAATACATGAATACATCTGGCAGGCAACATTGCATTGTACAAAAAATTCGTTACCATAAAGCGAAAACTGAATGATTTGAATATGAAAGTAAAAGTCCAAAACAAAGATTTTTATGTACAATTAAACAGCGGATGATGCAGTTCCTAAATATGCATTCCGTAAAACTTTTTGTGCAATTTGCCTAAACCTCGCACCTGTAAACTCACCGTCCACTCTAAGCGTGACAGCATGCCTGTCCGCTCCTCGTTCATTTTCAACGACCAAATAATAGGGTCTCGAATCCGCTGAATCGACACCATTCACATGAAGTGTGGATTTGTAACAGTCCTCTCGCGAATCTTGAACCATTTCATCTACGTGATATCGCCCTGAAAATGAGCAAAATAATAAAATATAAATACTCTGAAAACAACCTGGGAAAACTCGGTAGGAAGTAAATCCAAGGTCATGGTATATTTTTGTTTTTTGAGATTTTTTTGCCAGCATGTAGGACTAATAGGACATAGGACATAGAATTGTTTTGTCATTGTTGTATGCATAACAATTTACCCACATTTGTTTTTTATTTTGTTTTTAAATTTTATTTTCAATAGCAATCAGAATATAGTACCATTCTATGAGCTACTTGGCTTATATAATTCACTCATACATATATGCGCATCTTAAAGTTTTGATTACCAAAAAAAATATACACATACATAAATTATTGTGATAAATATTCACAAATTTTATTTATTTCTACAACGATGTGGTAGCGCTAAAGATCTTGTCTTCAATATTATCTTTGGGGAGATTCTTTCTCAGTCTTTTTGAAATTGGTGTCTCAAGACTATTAAATTTGAATAATGTTACAGTTTTTGAAAATGTTTGACATTGTTTATTTTTATAACTCTGTTTATAAATTCTATGTTAAGATCTTCGTGTAAGTTTTGATTTGAAGCTTCTATGTGGTCGGAAATCTGAGAAATTTTCAGAGACACATTATTGTAATAAATATTATATCGATAGTTGGAGAATCACTCCAATAAATGATTCACCAATTTTGTTCATATCTACAACGATCTGGTAGTACTAAAAGTCTTCAATATTATCTTGCAGATTATTTTTCAGTCTTCTTGAAATTGGGGTCTCAAGAAGATGAGTGACTAAAGGTTGAATAATGTTCCAGTTTTTGAAAATGTTTGACCTTGTTTATTTTTACAACTCTGTTAAGATCATCGTGTAACTTTTGATTTTACAAATTCTATGTTAAGATCATCGTGTAACTTTTGATTGTGAAATGTTCGAAGAATGATACCCACATGAATTTACACAAAATGCGTACTTATTATTAAAATCTTTATAAAATATCTGATAATTTGATGTAAATATGTCTAATGATCATTTTTCACCGCCAAATGGCATTTTTTAAATTTATTTTTATTAGATATCTTAAACCGTTGGATCTTCATTGAATTTGAAGAAATGAATCTTTATTTCTTCAATACAAGTGAAATGTTTTTTGAATCATTCAAATCGCACACTCCGTTCTATCAAACACTGATTTACCATTTTTTGCATTTTTGTCTCGAATCTCCAAAACGACCTGCCTTTGCCAAAAACTAATCAGCACGTATACCCGTCAATAGAAATTGAACGTTGTTTAAATCATTCAAATCGTTTGATCCTGGTTTGATCGAAATCGAGGACAAAAAATTGTGCCCGCACAATACATCCGCACACACATACATACATTCATATTTTCTAAAGTAAGCCAAAAACTTCAGAAACCTGTGAAACGTAAAAATTAGCAAAGATTTTCAGATTCGTTTTTTTTGCAAATATTACAAATTGTTGGCACATAAATATGCATAAGCACATAATGCATCTTTTTTTTCAACAATGAGGCATGCAAAAAAAGTTCAGAAACCCATGAAACGTAAAGATAACAAAAAATTTCATTTACTAGAAATTAAAAATCAAGCAACGTACGATGTCCGCTCAAGAATTCATTAGTTACAAGAAAAACACGTGGTTATTTATCAACTGTCTCGGGCTATCAAACGCTGCAGCTCTGATGCAAGGCATTTCTCTTTGAAATCTCCAGCTCGCCGTCAAGAGACCGCTTTCTCCTTTCTCCAGGATTCATTTCGAGAGCGCATAGCTGTGTGCAATTCCGTGTGTTACGGCCACTTCAACAAATAGGTGGATTGAGATGTTTGTTCTGGTATTCTATCACCGCAAACACAACATAGGGGAGGTCATTACTCCAGTCTTAGTAGAGGTAGAGGGTAGTCCGAAAACCAGGAATGTTCACAGAACGTAACCGTTAGTTATGGACCATATATAAAGCGTCAATCGGAACGCAGTCAAAGCTCTGCAAACACAAGCTAATTGTCGTAATTATCAAAGGATGGCTAACGAATTCATTTGAGACGTTGTTAAGGACCGTGGTGTTATCAAGAGTAAATACACTGAATACCAAGTGGAATTTGAGGACCTTTTGCTTTGGATTTAATCGACGTATTGTTTCTTCAATTATACACTAATTAAAGACTGTTTATTTATCAGAAGTTTTCAGAAACAAAAGGATTCCTAGCAATTTGATCAATCAATGTGAGATTTGTAAAATTCAAACCCTGTTTCAATATGTTTGACTGTATATTGAAGAAATATATAAGAGAATATGACAAACATAAAGGTTACTACAATGAATACTTTTCGCATATTCTAAACAAACTAGCTTAATTTCTGTAATTCAAAAAAATTAATAGGGTAAAGCAGGGCTCAATGGTCCAATTTGACTTTGAGCAATTAGTCTGTGAAAATCAATCTAACTATGTAAGAACAAATAACGCATACCAAACAAACAACTATCTAACTAAGTTCATTAAACTAATTCACAGCTAATTGTAAAACTATGTTCTTTTCTTATTATTCAAAAAATTATCATTGGTCCTTTTTACCCCATAGGCGAGGTGGAAAGGGTCAGCCAAAAGACAAAAAAATCCACCATTTTAATTTGAATTTAAAGAAATTTTATGGAATAATAGCTACATTAATTAATCCATGCATTATAGTTTAATTATTAGGTTGTACAACAAAATCATAATTTAATTTTTCACATAATAAACAAAAAAATTATTAACTCTTAATTCTTTATAAATCTTGATATTTTGTTTAGTTTATTAAGATTAGACTAATGGTTTCTTAAAATACAATCATTACAAATGAGATAAATACAACTTTTTCGTTTGAATGAAATATTTCATGGGCACATTTTTTATAAAGATCGCACTGGACACAACTTTTGTATGGAACTTTGTCAGAAGAATTGTTCATCATCAGAGTTATCTATCGGAAAATTTATTGATATAATTTATCCCCTGTATAATTGCTTTCTTAAAGTATTTTTACACTATATAATCTACATTTCACTTGTTTTTAAGATAATTGAGGTGGACTTTTCTCCCCGCGGACCTTCAAGCCCCACTCTACCCTGTTATATTATAACCATTTGAATGGCGTTTTAATGGACACTATATATTATTTTCTATTGTATTTTAGTCAAAACTATAATGTTACCATAATTTATGAACAGTCGTAACAAAAATTGAAATTAGAAAGAAATATCATTAAGATTTTCTGTATCTACAAAATATTTCAAATTATTATTTTTCAAATCTCAAAATTAATATACAGGATTGTATTATTTTACAATACAATTATTTACTCGCAAGTTTATATTGGTTACAATTCAACGAGTAAACAAAGTTGCAAACCGGATCAATTGAACTAACATAGTATTTCTAACAGTGGTGCAAGAAGAAAACAATACAAATCAATAAATCTCAGTAAAGATATAAGAAAACTGTGAGCAATAAAGTAACTACGACGTAAATTTTACAACCGAGAAAGCGTTTAGGAAACAATTGTGTGCAAAAAGTGTGTATCAATTATTAGAAAAACACAATTTTATACATGACAATGTTTTACAAGTGAGTCAAAAAGTATTAATTATTTTATCAATAATATCTGAAATAGAAGACTAAATCCAATTCAATAATTCTATCTATCGGTCAAAGCCCAATCGTAAATCTCCCAAAAGTATTTCACAACTGCTGTTCATTCTTAAGCGCCATTAAGTTCACTATCTATCTTTGTGGCATAGAAAATAAATCACATAACACTGATAACAAATCACAAGGCGCTAACTTTTCCCTTTCGGTTCGTCCGAATTCGCAAAATCCTCGGCAGCGTTACCATAATTGAATTCCGGGGCAGTTTCGATTCTTCGCCACCTGCTTCAGCCTTGCTTGATGACCGGCGACGTCCCGTGAGAAAGAGGCTAAATGTACGAAATTGAACGATCCGATATGCTCATAGCGTGTGTGCCCTAAATTCGCCGCACGAACCAAATCGGGTTTGGATAGAATAAGGAAAAGCACCTTTGTGTAAGTAACAGTAATGAGATTCGAGTTGACAAGGATTTTACTTGCTTTGATAAATACGGAAATCTAGTATTTAGTTTTTCAGCTTACTAATAACTCATTTAAGTATAATCTTTTTTTTATTATTATCTCTTTTATTTACAACTGTCCAGTAAAGGACATTGAATAAATTTGATGAATTTACAATAGTCGGCCGAAAAGGGACATTGTTACTACAAGGGCATGTTGGAAAAAACAACTCAGTAGTTATTTTTTTATTCGATATAAAATTCAGTCTGTATAATCTGATATTATAGTAGTCTTGATTTGTTAATTAAATTCAATTAAAATATTTACAGAAAGCCTATATGTTTCCTCATGGGTTACATTAATCGTAATGAAACTGATGATCATAGATGTTACTATATTTTCAAGAAAGTAGACTGAAAAAGAAACAATCAGTAGATCTTCTCTAAGGAACTAGTAATCCTTAATAGAAAATTCATAGTTATATTTACCAAAACGAAATTGAAGATCATCGATGTCACCGTTGCTGCCAAACTCTCAAGACAGAAGGCTGAAAAGGAAGCAGCCAGCAACAAACTTTAGAGATGGTCCCAAATTTTAGAGATGATTCCAAATGTTAAAAATGGTTTCCAAATATAGTGACAATACCAAATTTTAGAGATGGTTCCAAATCTTAGAGATAATTCCAAATTTTAGAGATAGTCCCAAATTTTAGAGATTGTTTCAAAATTTAGAGATAGCCCCAAATTTTAGAGATAGTTCCAAATTTTCCACATACTCCATTGAGTGAGTCAACAATATAACTTATCTTCTTTAAGAAATTAATGATCTTCAATGGAGAATCATCTACTATGTCAATTTTTCATACTCAAGTAACACATTTTTACTCAAGTAACAAACAACATGTTCTGATTACTGTTCAACAATGTATAAGAGAAAGATCATCGATGTTATCAATTATATCAAAAAATGATATATATATATATATATATATATATATATATATATATATAGGGTGGTCCTTAAAATGGTCATTTTCGAATTTCCTTGCTCCCAGGGGCTCAAATGGTTTCAAATAGATAAAAAACAATTCTCTGAAAGTTTTAGCTCTTAATATTAACGTTTAGATAGAGCGCAATTCAATCAAAGTTTGTATGGAAAAAGCATGGAAAAATTTTTGAAAGTTAAAAAAAAATGTTTTAGGTATAACTTAGCGACAAATGAATGAGTTTTATTCATTCATTTGTTCACTAAATTACATCTAAAAACCATTTTTTAAATTTTTGAAAATTTTTCCATGCTATTTCCATACAAAACTTTGATTGAATTGCGCTCTATCTAAACGTTAATATTAAGAGCTAAAACTTTCAGAGAATTGTTTTTTATCTATTTGGAACCATTTGAGCCCCTGGGAGCAAGAAAATTCGAAAATGACCATTTTAAGGACCACCCTAATATATATATATATATATATATATATATATATATATATATATACTCGTATTATATTATATGATTCCTACCTATCCCAGCACCAGCTTCCAGCCTCAGAGAACCCCATTCCCAAGCAACGTGCCTCGGCCTTGGATCAGCGCATACCACCAAGGACAAAGAAGCACTTTGGCCTCTTCTTGCCCAAACTTCATGAGCTGGTGGCGGACCATGTCGCAGAACTTGAGGCGCACCTGTAAGTAAAAATATAAACCATAAAATACTATTTGATATGGGAAATTGACAGTGTCAAGCGTTTAGACAACTTTTTAACTTCAACGCATTTTCTACTAAAGTCGTCTATAGACAACACACAGTGTGTCAACTCTTGCTCTTCATCCATTAGAGTAAAATATCTAGGATTCTAATTATAATTTGTTATTGCAATTGTTAGAAGTGTAGTTTTTAATTTTAAAGAATATTTTTATTCGTGATTCTTGAAAAAAATAAAAATGTTGTGCAATAAATTCTTGGTTGGCTTGCTGACTCGTACAGCAGTGCCACTTCTGGGAAAAACATCTCGTAGCAAAACGGTTAAATTAAGTTCACAAGGGTTATTTTTTTCATTATCTGTCAATAAACAACAATCAACATGAACAATATTCTATGAGTTATTTTGTAAAATTGCAGTCACTCTATTAAGTGAGCCACCGATAGAACTTACAGATCTTTGATGATTTGATGAAAAAACGATAAATATAAAACATTATATATTAATTAAATTTGCTTAGATTTATTATATCATTGATTTATTATATATAAGTATAAAATCTGAATTTGGATCATAATTTTACAGATAGTTTTAAATCTTCGATATAGTTCCGAAATTTAGAGACAGTTCCAAATTTACAGATAGTTCGAAATATTACACAGAGTTCCAAATTTCAAAGATAGTTCCAAATTTCGGAGATATTTCCAAATTTTGGAGATAGTTCCAAATTTCGGAGATAGTTCCAAAGTTTAGAGATAGTTTCAAATTTTAAAGATAGTTCCAAATTTTAGAAATAGTTCCAAATTGTAGAGATGGTTTCGCATTGTAGAGATGGTTTCGAATTGTAGAGATGGTTTCAAATAGTAGAGATAGCCCAAATAGTAGAGATAGTCTCACATAGTAGAGATAGTCCCAAATAGTAAAAATAGTCCCAAATAGTAAAAACAGTCCCAAATAGTAAAAATAGTCCCAAATAGTAAAAATAGTCCCAAATAGTAAAAAAAGTCCCAAATAGTAAAAATAGTTCCAAATTTTAGAGATGGTCCCAAATTTTAGAGATAAATCAAAATTTTAGAATCAGTTCCAAATTTTATACATTCTCAATTGAGTGAGACTAATATAACTTATAGGTCCTCGATGATTTAATAAAAAAAATGTAGAAACTGTACACATGAAGTAGTACTTTCACAAAACCCGACAAATGTAAGATATTATATATCAAATTTATTATATCAATTATAAATATTTGCTATTCATTCTGGTTCATTGTATCATAATATCACTCCGCCTTGGCTTAGTATGACGTTGGAGCTCATACAAAGACAAATGCTTCATTAAAAGCGACAACCATGTCATCAACTAGAAACAATGTTTCACTGATTGGCTCCGGTGTTAAGCGGCTTGTCTAAGCTAGACACATTCAGAACATTGCCGCTGCGCAAAATCTATTTCGAGAAGGGATTAATTTGTTTGTTTTCAATGGATGAGGAATAATTTTATTACACTGGAACATAACACAGTGTGCTTCAAAAGAAAAGTTTTGTGTAGATAAGATTTTTTTGTATTACAATATTTGTGCCAACATTTTTTGTAGCAGATGTAATCAAGTTGCCATTTAGTGAACAAAATCCTATTTTTACTTTGAAATTTATGGATTGAATGATTGGGCGGATTATTTTAATGTTATAAATAATGGATACATAAAATCAGCCACAACTGTAATTTTGTAACAGTAACTGTAATGGACCACAATTTTAAAAAAGAATTAACGAAGTACATACATTAATTAGTGAGCAATTAAACAGTCATGCTCTTAATAGTACATCATTAAATATGTTATGTAGCCCTTGAAAAATAAAAGTTTGTTTAACTTTCAGATCAATAATTCTTCACAACTTCTTTCAATTCAGTCGATGGATTTGGCATTTAAAGTTTTTTCTAATTTTTAACCTTTCAAAATACTAAGTAATCATAAAGTCCAGAGTGATATCATTAAATATCAAAAAAGTTAATACAGTCTATGAATATGTAAATTTTGGCTTCAAGCTGTATTTTGTTAACAATCCTTCATTAATATAAGATTTTGTTTTGCTGTTTTGTAATATTTTACTTTTTTTAAATAAACATTTACTAGTAAAATGTCTTGTTTATACAACAAAAGTTCTACAATGAAAAATTTTGTTAGATGCTGAAAAGAAATTAAAATAATGTACTTATTGTTAGTATTATACTCATATTATATAATCCTCATTATAACAATAATATTGGAAATAATTGTGTCTAATTTTTTTTTATTTTGGAAAATGGTAAATTTAATGTTTTTTTATGTAAGGTTATATAAATGATTAATTTGCATGCACAATATTACGTTTATGGCATACAAATAAATTCGTGTAAAAATTGTCTTTTATTTATTGAAAATATCGATAAGTTTCTGAACTTCTTATTTTCAAAAATACATTTTAGAAAAAATGAGTATCAATATAGATGATCGTGGCGTAAATTTTAGAAATAGTTCTCAGAAGTAGATATATTTTTGAATTTAAGCATATCTCTGAATTTTAGACATATCTCTGAATTTTGAACATATCTCTGAATGTTGGTCATATTACTGAATTTTAGGCATATCTCTGAATTTCAGGCATATCTCTGAATTTCAGGCATATCTCTGAATTTCAGGCATATCTCTGAATTTTAAGCATATCTCTAAATTTTAAGCATATCTCTAAATTTTAAGCATATCTCTGAATTCTAGGCATATCTCTAAATTTTAGACACATTTCTAAACTTAAATCTAAATTTTAGACAGATCTAAATTTCAAAGATAGTTCTAACTTTTAGAAATTTAAAACTCGCAAATTCAGAACCCACAAATTCAGAACCCACAAATTTAGAACCCACAAATTTAGAACTCATAAATTTACAAGTCACGGAATTCCAAGTTGCCAAATTTGGAACTACCAAATTCCAAATTAACAAATTTCGAACTGATTTGATAATTCACACAAGCATATGTTCGTACTGTGGTTTGCAGGTAGCTACTGATTACAGTTGACGTCCGCATTTAAATAAAATATATAGATGGCATTAAACGTTTTAAACATATTAATGAATTTATATAATTACAGATATTATAAGTAAGTTTGGAAGACATCAATTGGAAATGGCATTGATTATAATTGGAGTTGATCATTTGTAGTTGATCACTGGTAGTTGATCATTGGTAGTTGATCATTCGTAAATGATCAGTGATAGATGATCATTGATAGATGATCATTGGTCATCATCATTTTACTCAAGCAGCAGTGTAATAGTAGGGTAAGTTATAGTAATCGCAAATAATTGAAAATTACAATTTTCATATATCCTTACATTTTGGCATACCTTATAAAAAATGGATATGTGTGTGAGTGTATGTATGTGTGTGTGTGCTAACGTATCGCGATTGCTTTAAAAATAGATTCAGAATTAACAAAATATTTCAAAGTATAATAAAAATCAAACTTTTCAAAAGGGCCAATTATTTTTCAAAAATTTTAAAAATCTCAAAAATCGATTTTTTTCAGAGTTCTAAAATTAAATTGAAACTTTTTTTAAAAAAATAATTTTTGGTACGGGAAGTGCCACCATTCCAGCAGTTTGGCACGATGCCATGGCACCACTAGTTACGTACAAGTATCAAGAAATTTTAGATACATTTACAGTACCACTTACACCTAGTTCGTGCAATTAATTCATTACTCACCGACGACCTGTACGGCAATAGGCTCGCTCTGCACCGCCCTCTGCGATCCTCCGATAACGTTGCTGACTTTGCATACGTATTCGCCTTGATGATCGTACGTGACATTGTCAATCACGAGCCGAGCATCACGACCGCGCTCCAGAATTGTATCGGGTGTCCCTTGAAGTCTGCACCATGAAAAAATGCGATACTCGAGATATTACATTATTACATACCAGATTATATAATCTACTGTGAGATCAACTAGCAATTTTCATGCGAAGGATTATGGAACGAGAGCGTGGCGGATAAGGAATTCTCTGTGAGAGTTACTTTGATAAAATATTAGAAAATACAATATTGGTAATATCGACTGCATGCTCTGAATTTTGTGATGTTTGTAAAACGAGAAGTAAATCATACTTTTATTCCCTAGAATAAAAAACGAAATCAATCAAACGTTACTGAGAATTATTCAACATTATTCAAGGTATCATAAAAATGCACCAACTGATAGATATTTTACATACGAATATTTCATTCACCACGACATCATATCCCTATCACGAAAATTTTCGAAATTATAGACGCTTAAACGTTTTGAACAGTTTCAAACAGTTTTTTTGCGAATATCTCGCAAATGTTGGGAGGTATCATAAAAATTCTTGCACTGGGTTAAAGACCTTTTGATTAACAATATTTAATACGAAAACATAAAAGACCTATGATGAATCGTTCAAAAGTTATAAGCGTTTAAAAATTTGATATGTAGAAAATGGACTAAAAAAGTCACTTTTTTAAATTTTTCACAGACTTCCCGAGCATGTAAAAGCTTCAAATAAAAATCAACATAGATCAAGCGCAGATTATAAGTTATTAACCTTGCACGTAATTTGCAAAAATAATCAGTTACAAATTAATACATCTGGCATACGTTTTGAGTCTACTACTAACAGATATCATCAGGTATGAAAAGACATCAAAGTAATAAATTTTTAATAAAACTCTGATAATATATTTATTTCAAAACGAAATCACATTTCCACAAATAAAAACACATTGATAACACATTGATAATTGATTTGATAATGTTACCATTTCTCGCCTTTACGTTTTGTTCTGAAAACCGAATCAAAAATCAAAAATAGAATATAATTTTTTATCAAATATAGTGCCAAAATTTGGTTACTAAGTTGTTAATTTGTAAAGGAGCATTCATCCAATCTTATAGATCAACATGTGATGACACCAAAAAATTG